GCAGGAGGCACCCTCTTTGCCCAGGTGCACCCTGTCACGTTCACTGGGCAGCATGATGAGACTTTTCAGGCTTTTAAGTGACAGATGTATTTTCACACCAGAGGTGTGCAAGGAGCCAGTGCCTCCTGAATCGTAATGTTTTACACCCTGAGGACAACTGCATCTACCATATGCTTTTGGCATCATCTAAGAGGCTTTTGAAAGTAAAGTCCTCTAGAAAAATCTCCAACTCGCTGGCTGTTCTGGAGTGCAAATATTTGTTTTCAGATTGCCCACTTTAGGAGCACTGTTTAATAAGCTAACTGCATGTTCAGCAATGCACCTACAGCATCCCACTCTCATAAGTTACTCCACTTAAGGGTTAAATATCTTTTTTTTGCCTGTTGCAATCTTCGTTTCATCACAGTCTGGAGACTGAAGAGCTGATACTGCTGATGGTGAGGGGAGATACCAATCTCCACTTCTACAGGATCCAGGGGTGGCTGGCTGAGCTGGAAGAGTACATGCACGCATATTTACAGCACAAAAGCCAGTCTTCAATTGTTTTATTGTTTACACATCTACTCTGCAGATCTGTTAAGAAGAGTCAGTTCTATGTGGTGAAACAGATATAATTTGACACAGAGGAGGTAGGCATACAGAGTTGCTGAATTGCTCATATAACCATATTTAAAAAAAAAGACACCCAACAATTCTGCTTAAATATTGAGCACTGATAATAGTATTGCAAAAAGTGCGGGACAATTCAAAACTAGACTGGCTTCTGTAATTCAGAAGTGACTTCAGCAGAGGAAACCTTGCACATAACATCTCAATGTGCTGTTTTTCAGCTGGGAAAACCATTCTCTGAACGAAATACCTTTACACAGTTTCTTGTAGGAACAAATCCTTTCTTATTCATCATCTTCAATCGTCTGATTTTTACAATAGACTGCAGTGCTTGTTTGTACCATTTCTGTGTATGTGGATGATGTAGCTAATCTATCAAACCATTGTGCTCATGTAAAGCAGTGGTGTGCTGTTGGAAAACTCTCTCTTTTTCTGTTCTAGAAAAGGCATTAAAAATGTATACTTTAACCAGTGCAGAAATGGAGAATATATTATATTTTCCACCAAAAGAAAGAAAAATCATAATTGCACCCATGATGCCTGCTTGCATATGACTGACGTGCCACAGGATGCAAAAAGTAATAGACTGCTGCTAGTTTATGGAGAGGCAGGCTGCACTGCGGTTTATGACAGCGTAATTGCTAGCAGGGAAATATAGCCATTACACAAGATAATACGGTATCTGCTAATTACATAATCTGCCCTAGAAGAAAAGGAGCACCAGAGGAGTGATTATATAGCCGGATATCTTAAATATGCATACAAGAAATGTTTGGGAAAGGATTAAGAAAGTTTATTTCAGAATACAATTAGAAGTCTGTCCTAAGTAGAAAAGGGAGTATCACTGTCAGCTGCAGTTAGCAGGGCAACTTCATAGCTCTCCCAAAAGGCCAGATTTTATGTGCTGGCGGGAAGCACACAGAGATTATATTGCAGAGGTGTCAGGAACTCTTCTGTGATTTCTGCATTGCTGCCCTGACTGGGAGACAGCTCTGGATGGACTATCCCCACCTGGCATGCCTGGTGCACAGCAGCAGGGGGGCACAGGCAGCCCCACCATGTGTCCACATGTGTCCCCAGCAGCATCCCTGCTGCTGAAATGGAACAAAATGGAGAGAAAAACATTCCTGATGACTGGGACAAGGACATTAGGAACCCATCAGAGATGAAACTGCCTCCTTGAATCCCTCACTCACCTAACCCTGTCCACCAGTACAACAGTTTCATGATACTGTGATTTTGTTTCTGGTTCCATGTTAAGCTCAGTTTGGTGACTTTCTATTGCATAATGATCATAATTAGGATTGTTAATTAAGATAATTAACATTATTTTCGTAATTCTCCAATAATCTCACAGGATTTGAAAGATGTTTTAAGCGTAAAATTATTATTGTAACACTCTATCTTATCATAACTTGCAAAAACTGTAAGCAACTTGTCTCTAGAAAACTTATTTGGAGATATTCCTTTATAGTCCTTGAGACCGAAGGAATGACAATACAGGTACCAACAGAAGAAACAGACTCTCATTCCTTTTAAGCAGAGCTGTAATACAAGATGGCATACACCAGAAAAACAGACCTATAACTTCAGTTATTCTATGCATGCAGTAGCACGCACACCCACAGTTTTGAAGGGATAAGGGCGATAAGCAGAAAATATAACCTATGATGACAGGATGCATAGATTTTGGCAGCATTATTTATCACTTAAGGAAAATAGCACCACTGATTTTTTTTTTTTTCCCTAAGCTGTTTTCTTACAGCTGTTTGCTGCATTTAGCTTCTGTACGAAAGCAAACAAGAAGCAGGTCATTCTACTCACCCACGTTGACCACTACTCACAAATGCATTAGAAAACTGTCTTTCCTACTCAATATAGGACTGCTTATATTACAATCACTAAACAAGACAGCCAAGTATTTAAAGTAATTTACAGTTGGTTTTTTTTTCTTTTTAAAAGAAAGCAAACCAGATTTACTGAATGATGCTGTAATTTCAAAACATTTGCAAAACCAAAACGCCAGTGATGTATTTAAATTTAAACTGCCTAATAACAGAATTTTAACTCCTAAATGAACCTTATTGTCTCAGTCTTTTCTTCTGTGTGTTGGCATTCCCCCTGTACACCAGTTTGCATACACAGCCAATTTTAACGTTAACCTCAGAGCACCAGTTACAGTAAATTTAAGCACTTCCACAGAAATAGTGCTTCAAACATAAAAGCCCTCTATGTTCTGTTTTGCCCCTCTATGATCAGATAGTGCCCATCTGATAATTTTTGCTACCTTTTTCATTGTTTCCTCTATCTTGTGGTTGTTCTTTATGCAGCAATGCTACTCGTGCTAAGGCAGACAATCCAATAATGTGAAAGTGGTTGGAAAAGAAATGCAGAACCACAGTCATGCTCAGTTGCAGAGCAAAAATACTGGCAGCAGCATCTTTGGTTAAATTACTTAACAGCAAGCGCCTCACCTAAGCTGAGGTTTCTACTAGGTAACATACCTGGTAATGCATTAAGATATGCATGATGTAATCATATATTTCTCCAGCAAGTCGGTTTTCTGGTCTCCAGGGAATAATGACAAACTGAATTCCTAGTAAGGGCACCAGGATTAAAGTGGCTCTGACAGCTTTCATGTACATGTTGGACTCAGCACGGTGGGTATCCCTTAGCTTTGTCACCAAAACTCGGACAATGTTAAGCAAAAAGAAAAAATTGACCTGCAAAAGCAAATCCATTATAGGTAAAAGCATTCAAATTAAACAGACATTCAAAATAAAAATACAGAACATACAAATGATAGCAAAATGTAACTTCGTAGCTCATAAGGGGCAGCTCCTTGGGAATCAGGACTTGGAAAGTACCTTGAATGTCTTCATAAAAGAGATGTTAAGCTGCTTTATATGCTCCCCTTAGGAAGCCTGAATGGATGTTTTAGATGGGCAAGAGTAAGTTCCAGGAAGCATTGGCTGTTTTGACACTGATGTAGGAAAATTTAGGATTTCCAGGGAACAATGAACCTTATTTTTATGTCTAAAGTTTAAACGGGGTGGATGCGTTGTAACAGGTAAAAGTTAACCCGTGCCGGCTCAGGGCAGAAGCGCTGAATGCTTCATGAGGTTTTGCCCCAGAGTAGCTCAGCATTTCATCTCCTCAGACATTTCTGGAAAACGGATTCCAACTGTGGGTGCTCAGCACATGGAAACCTGCTCTTGACTCTGGCTTCAAAGAGAGCTCCTTGTGAGATATGCTCAAGGCCTGCAGAGGAACAGGGAGGGCAGACCCAGGCTGATAATGAGCCCAGTGAGTACCCTGTGGACATCCTAGGTATCACAAACCTTCCCTCTCCCCAGTGTACCCAGATCACCTTTTTCTACTCTGTTACAGTAACATCAAGGCACCTATGCTTTGGAATTTCAGATGAAACTTCTTTTTCAGATGATATTTTAAAATAACTATGTAAGTTTCATAACATATATGGAATTTGGGCCATTAAAATATCTATATATGTGAGAAATTTCAGTTGAATCTCTTAGAACAATCAAACATGAATCAGTAAGCTTTAGTAAAGCATTTCATCACTTCTTAACTACTAAGAGACATTTCAACTGTTTTACATTTGTGCCCTATTGGAAAAAAAGGAATAATAAATTACTTCTGAGGTCCCATTCAACATTAAATCTAAACCGTATTCACCATTCTCCTTGGACTTCCCCCGCTCTGCTTAAACCTCACTTTTAGAATTTCTGGAAGTAACTGTTAAAAGTGGAAAAAAGACTTTAAAAAGGTAAAAATCCTCAGCTCCTCTGAGCCAATCTGTCACTATGAGATTTTTGTAGCAAACCATGCAGGACATTCTGTAGACATTGGTATCTTCACAAGAAAAATAAGACTGGAAATGGCATAAATGCAAGCCAGAAATGATAATGCTTTATTTTGGAAACAGTTAAAGATCGTTCTTTTTCCATAAAAAAAAAAAACACCAGTCCCTCCATTTTTCTGTGTGGTTAAGATGTATGGACTTGCAGCATGGTAATAAAAACAAAGGTTGAATGGCCTCTCCTAGAAGTTAGTTGGCATTACAACATCTGAAGCAATCAAGATTGAACCAGTAAATCCACAACAGATGTGGTTCTATGGGAAGAGCAGACTATCTATACGGCAGTGAGTTATGGACTTCTTCACACTTGCCTGTGTGCAAGGCTGCTTCTCAAGAAAGGGTAGAAAGATTTTTAAGTTTTTCAGCTATTAGACGGAGGGTTGTTTCTTTATTCAAAGGTGTTCCCAGTATTCACCACCACACTGCTTGACCTCCAAGGTAATTACTGCAGGTATGTCCACGCAGATGTCTGCAAGCAAGAGGCAGTTCAAAAGCTGAAAGTGCATCTTGGGTGACACCCTGAGGCGAGCTTGGGTTGAATAAAACCCTTTCTGCACCTTTTAGGAAGGTCAGCACTACTGTGCCAAATGGCACCACTGGCATATAACATGCTGTATGTGTACACATAGCCAAGCTGCACTTTGGATCTTGTCCTCCTACGAGATCCCACTCCAGTCCCTACGCAGGGCTGGTTTAGCGCCCTACCTTTGGGCCATACCAGTTCAGTGACTAGTAAAACTCAGGATGAATGACCAGCCCACACTCAGCTCTCCCCAGCAAAGGTATATCTGATTGCATCATCGGTGTCACATAAATGTGGCACATTTGTCACAAACATGTTATGATGGGGGAGAGTGACCACCCTGGTTTTCAAAAGCAGTCAGTCATTCTCTTTGCCTCACAATCTGTTTCTTCTTCAGGACTTGTTTTTGAAAAGCATTGAAAACCTGTCCTCTTAACACTGAGTAGAGAAAACATCTGGCTACTTCTGAATTTTGACCAGAATACTTCAAGTACAGGAATTTCTATTCTATACAGGTTAGTGGCATTTGTAAAATAATTACTAAACTGTTGATAGAAAATAATATTCTTACCAATAAAGCTGCCATTACAGGTCCATGAACAATATAGAGCAAGTGCGTGTCAACACTCATCCAGCAGCTGGAGGGGAAATACACCATTAAAATTTATCAACTAAAATAAAATATGTTACACAGTTAAAGAATGCTAAGTTCCTCCAAGAACAGGCATGCTACTCACTTGTCATTGAAGTATTTGGCTCTTGCAATAGCATGAATAGATGCTGGCACTAAAGGGAACCCTGAAATGATTAAAGTTATAGATCAGTCTTGGTATTATTTTTAGCTCGAAAGTCACGTGTCACACACACTAGTAAGTCTCTTGTCCACAAAACACATTTATGTGAAATCAGAGCTTTCAGGAAAGAACTGCAATCCCATTGCAGTCAGGGCCCTCAATGGTTACCCACTGATATTACCTCAATGGTGAGCTGTAAAAAGGAATAACATTCAAGGCAGGTGAAAAGGAGAAGCAGAACCATCATCTCCTGGAGAGTGACAAAGCTGCTGCCAGGCTCCCCTGTACTGCTGCAGCTTGTGCAGGAAAGGGTGTGAGCGGGCAGGGTGGGAAGGAAGTAGGGATCAGTTGGTTCTCAGCAGAATATTACCTCACAAAACCAAGGACACTTGTTAAAGCCATGTAAATCGCTGTTGAGCAAGCAAGAGGCACACTAATTTGCATGCCAGATTATGGAGCAACCAACAACAGAGCGAGGAGTTGGTCTTTTGGAGCCTATTGCATGAGAAAATGTTTGGAGCTAGGCATTTTTTGGGGGTATGGGGATTTGGGACATCTTCTGCAGGTTCCCAGCCTCTGTGCAGCCAAGCCATGCAGCTTTATCTCAGCAGGGAATGGTACTGTGAATACCATAAATCCACATCTCCTGCTTTAGCTGTGAAGCCTCAGGGAAGGCCACTGCTCTGACAGGGAGCAAATCTGCATAGGACCAAAGGCTTGGGAACATGCCATGCTTAACAAAATGGAAGCCTCAAACTCTTATTTCCAGCCTGACATTAAAAGTGATAATCTGGTCCATTCCTATCCATCTTCCTTCAGCTTACTTGTATGTTGTGCCTCTCTCCAACAGGCTAGAAACCTGGAATTCAGGAGTCCACACTAAGATACTGACCCCAGTTTGTACAACCCTGCACATACAGACAGCCAGCCAGTGGGGAGATGCTCTACTGCCTTGTCTATCCTATTCAGAGAGCTTTGTGGGCACCTTTGGTTTTACAGGTGCCTGTTCCCTATAAACAATGGACATTTCTTCTGATCTTTGGATATTCTATAATTATAAATAAAAATGTGTGAAAGTGTCCTGCTGATACTGTGATTAGTTACAGAGGGAAGAACATGGCTCCTTGTTTTACCTTGGGAGGACAACTCAGCTGTGAGAGAACAAACTAGATTGCCTTCTCCTTTATATCTTGTTAGAAAATGATTACTTGGCCTCTGGCTGCAGAATGCCTTTTTTGGGGGGGTGATAATGCATAGTAGAAAAAAGCTCAGAACAGAAAGGAGTTTCCAAACTTAGGGTGAGTTTATGGGATTGACGGCTTGAGAAAATCCTTTTGAGTTGGAAATGGAGCAAGTCTGGGACAGTTTGGTTGACAGACTGAAGTGCAATTTTTAAGGGGATTTTCTGTAGTAGCAAAACATCTTCATCTGAAAGCTCTGGCCTGCAGTATCACAAGTAGAACACTCCACATGATGCCAAGGGACCTTCTTCTGCTAAATGCATTAGCTAGAATATTTGGCTCAAGAAACTCAGAAGCAAGTCTTAAGAACGCGACGGAAAGTTTTCATTAGTCAGTTACAGGGTAAGAAGCTCATGACCATCTCCAGCTCAAATTTCCAGCTGCAGGCTGCTCTGTAAGGCTACATGTTGCTTCTTCCCTGTAAAGGGCCAAAAAGCAGAGAGGTAATGAGAAGTGAGGCATCAAGAAGTCCTGTTGGATCTTGGTGGCCCAATATGGATCACTCCAGTGGTCCCACCTACACGTGGTGAGCTGTGAGAAAACTAGAAAAGGTCTAACTCCAGCCATCTCAGGAAAAGGTATGACATACCCTTTTAGGTCATGGCAGATCCTTTATGGCACAAACTGGCATTTTTGCTTAATTGTATTTCCAGTTGAATTTGGAAGGTAATCTGTTTCAGCACCATCTAAATAAGTGATTCCCTTTTCACTTTTATGGGGATGAAACTGCCTGAAGCAGCCAGAGTGGACTGTAACTGGATGCACATATTTGATACTGTTTTCTTGCTCTGCATAAGGGTGATTTCCCAACCCAGTGAAATAATAACAAATGAAAAGTGATGTTCCCAGTAGCAGTTCCCAGAGAAGGGGCATGAGCCTTGAAATACATCTGTCCATGTCAGATTCCACTCAATCATCTCAAATCTATTCAGAAGTGTTTTATATTAGCTGAGATTTTTATTTTTCTTATAAACCTAGTTTACAAGTGTCATTAGTGATTTTTCCAAATAAAATAATCTAGATCTTCTTGCATATGGATTAGTTCCAACAATGAGCATATTCATCGTGTTGTACATTTACCTTGATCTTTTGAATTGTAATTCAGAGCACCACCTGTTCTGGTTGCTCTGCACTGCCCTTTGGAGAAATGTTTCTCTCTCCATTGATTAACATAGCTGGATGTTTAAAGTTAGACTGTGTGACTACTGCTTCTGGAATCAGGTGAATTACACTAATCAAACTTCAGGGGTGGCCAGATAGTCCTAATTAGATCATTTTGCTATTAATGACTTCTATCATAGTTAGGAGATGCTAATGATTAGGGGATTTTTTTTAATAGAAATATTAATCTAGTTTCACTAGAAAGGCTGTAGATCTCATAGTCAGAGTAGTGTCCATTATTAACCTTTTCCTTCTCAAGATACCATCATCCTATTACCACAGCCACCACCCTATTTATTTTTTGGACAGTGCTGCATATACTGACGAGTATCTTATCAGGTAACTTCACCGAATTGCCCACCATGGTGCTAGTGCTGTTCTCAGTAATGTTACAGCTAGCTCATAAGCTTTCACTGCAGGCTAGATGCCCCAGTTGCATTGAATTGCACTGCTTAAATTGAATGTCACCTGAAAAAAAAAAAGTTTATGGCCATTTTCCTCTTGCATAATTGGATATGGAATGACATTATTTTGGGAAGGCTTATGCTACTAGACATGAAAATGGCAAAGAAATATTTAAAATGACTCTTCATATAGGGCTGCCATTTCAAAAGCAGAGCTCCATCAGAAGTCGTATATTCAAATATTCTGAATTACAACAACTTTGTGATAGCACAGTTGCTTGCTCCAAGAGGGCTCAGCTATTTGGATTTATAGGAAGTCCAGAAACCTTGACTCAATTTAAGTTCTTCAGGACAGGAAGATTGTCTTCATTTAAGAGCTGGTGATGTTCCATGTTTAGATCCAAGAGATGCCGTTCTCATAAGAACTAAACATGCATGACAGCATTCTCATTAAAAAAAAAAAAAAAAGGGAGAACAGAGGGAGAACAACTTTCCACATTGCTGTTACTGCCTATTTAGGACCCGATATTGGACTCCTAACTAGTAGTTGAAGTCGGAGTTTTAAAGTAATTCAGAACTGGGTCATTTTTCTCCCATGTAATTCATTCCTAATTGTTCTCTGCTTAAGCAGTAGGGCTATTTTCCTGCTGTAAATTAAATAATGTTAAACAAGTATAACCTCTCCAAACTGGGTGGAAAATACAGAGTAAATTTTATCTGCTTCAGACTGGGATTGCAAGAGACGAATGCAAGTGAACACTCCTAAGTGCAGACAAAGGTCATAGAACCACAGAATGGTTTAGCTTGGAAGGGACCTTAAAGATCATCTAGTCCCAATCCCCCTGCCATGGGCAGGGACACCTTCCACTAGACCAGGTTGCTCAAAGCCTCATCCAGCCTCGCCTTGAAGACAGCCAGGGATGGGGCATCCACAGCTTCTCTGGGCAACCTGTTCCAGTGCCTCACCACCCTCTCCATGAAGAATTTTTTCCTGATACCTAATCTACATCTCCCCACTTTCAATTTAAACCCATTACCCTTTGTCCTATCAGTCCATCATTTGATGCTCAGTTGCAGCAGTGGTTTCAAAGTATGGGGAGTGGCTCACCAGAAACTGGAATGAGGCCAGAGATTCATGGTTCCCAAACTAGGAAAAAAGTCTTGATAATGACTTTATGTCAACACTGAAGTGGACTGGATTTACAATAGTGATTTAAATGTGAAAGAGACTGCACTCTGCTGTAACAGATTAGTTGTATTTATCTCATCCTTGAGAGCAGAGCAATTATTACTCCTGTGTGGGTAAAACTGTATCTTCTCCTTTAAAAAAAACATATACCAAAGTATATCTGGTACTGGATTCAGTTCCAGAGAAATTCTGTTTTCTCCTACATGCTGGGTTTTTTTTTTTCATTTTGGGAGACATAGATACTGATTTTACTCATTTTCATTCCAGAATAAATATTCTTTTATAAGTAATGTCACAGATTAACATTTTTGCACGTAAAAGGATAAAAAAAGATTAAGTTTTGTTCAGATGAGAAATGTACTTGGGGAGAAATTTTTCTCTCCCAAAGCTTTGCTTAACAAAACTTAAGCATTTCTTTCAGCAGATCCCAAGATGCAGCATATAACACATTCTGACTCCTACTGAGTTTTCTAAGTCTCTAGGCCCATCCAAAGAAAGGCACTCAAATTTAAGACCTAAGAACTTAAGCTATGATCTAATGGCATAAATAAAACAATTCAGGTGTATAAGTGCTAAAAGAACTCAAACATCTGAAATAATTGACCATCTTGCTACAAATTACAACATACATACCCCAGCCTAAAAGGTAATACCAGTGCAATCGCTGCTCTTCAGCAAACACTGCCACCACAATCAACGTGTGAAGATAAATGCCTTCACAGAGCATCCAGAAGTAGTTGCAGCCCAACATGTACTGGTGAAAGAATTGCAACACTTTGCAGCTCACCTGTTAGTCAAATGAGATAATGTCACACACCTGATCAGCATTTTGCATTTAAGCAAAGACAAATGTTACTGCTAGGCTATAATGAAACAAAGTGGAACAAAAATCCCTAGGTCTTGCTGGGTTTGTTCAGCACCTATTAATGACAAGGATTTTAAACTTTTATAAATGAGATGAATAGAACAAACAGCACTCATAAAATAGAAAAAAATGTATAACAGCATTCCAAAACGTACCACATAACAAAAAAAAAAATAATCCCCTTCAAAATCTGATGTTTTTTAGAACTGAAACAAGCGACTTGTTTTAGATATACAAGAAAAGTCTGTGAACAAGTAACTTAGATCTCCAGTTTCAGTGATTTCATTTACTTTTGATCAAGGTTTTCTAAGGTTTGTTCAGCTCTACCATCTGAGCCAGAGTCACTCTTTAAACTGCACCTAGCTCTGAACTCAGTCACTTGAGAGGGGCAAGTGCTGTTAGCAGTGGAGATTTTTTTGGTATGGTACCAGGGATACCAGCTTCGCCTCTTTGCAAGAAGACAGCTTTACTTTATGCTGTCCAAATAACAAAGTGACACATGGAGCTAAGTGCAGCCAGTGAAGCTGGGTAGTGGCTCCTGCCTGTGTTTCAGATGATGTTGCAGACACAGACCTTGACAAGAGGCTGTGGCTTTGAGATGCTGGGAAGTGGTGGGCAGACGATGGAGGGAAGCAGGTCCTGTTCACTACCAGAGAGCCAGCTGGTGCAGGATATTGCTGTTCCTCTTCTGAGAGGATCTCATGTCCATCCGCCTCCTCAGATAGGGCAATTAGGTCCTCCACGTGGCCTTCCAGGGAAATCCAAGGTCAAAGAAGCAATGGCAAGTACCAGTCATCATCTGTGGCCACAGGAAAATACCCCTTTTCCCCTTAACTCGGCAGATGTTTTCCATCTGCCCATCTGGGTTGTAAGAGATGTCTTCAGGATTTACTTGTCTCTTTGAAGAGACATTTTTGCAGTTCAGCAG